ATTGTTCTCCCTGGTTCCCAAACCTTTTGTCAAACAATCGGCGACTTGTTGTCCAGAGCTCACATGAGTTATCTTGATGATTCCTGCATCCAGTTTCTCTTTGATAAAGAATCTGTCTATCTCCACATGTTTTGTTCTGTCATGTTGCACTGGATTATTAGCAATGCTGATTGCAGATTTGTTGTCACACCACACATTCAGAGGATCTTGTCTGAGCACTTTCAGCTCAAGCAGAAGGCCTCTTACCCATAACATCTCACTCAGCCCTTGAGACATTGCCCTATACTCAGCTTCTGCAGTTGATTTTGACACCACCGGTTGTTTTTTGCTTCTCCATGATACCAAATTTCCACCAACAAACACACAATAGCCAGAGGTTGATCGTCTATCATCAAGACAGCTAGCCCAATCAGCATCGCTATAACAGTCAACATTCAAATGGCCATTACTATTGAACTAGAGTCCCATACCAGGGCTGCCCTTTAGATACCTCATGATTCTATAGACTGCATCAAGGTGTCCACTTCTGGGGTCATGCATATATCTACTTACTACACTTACTGCATATGTAATATCTGGTCTAGTGTGACACAAGTACAGAAGTTTGCCAACCAATTGTTGATATTTTGCTTTGTTAACTTGTTCACCCATCTGTGCTGTCAATTTGTGATTTTGTTCAATGGGAGTTGGGGCTGCTCTACATCCAAGCATTCCCATATCACTTAGGAGCTCTAAGGTATACTTCCGCTGAGACAGGGCTATTCCCCTCTTTGATCTTGCAACTTCGATACCCAGGAAATATTTTAGCTGACCAAGATCCTTAACTTCAAATGCTTTGCCTAGGCATTTCTTTAGTCTTCCAATCTCCTCTTCATTGTCTCCCGTTATTATGATGTCATCCACATATACTGCAAGAATAGTAATCTATTGCTTGGAATGTTTATAGAAAACAGTGTGATCTCCATTGCATTGTTTATACTCCATACTGCAAACTGCTTGCCTGAACCGGTCAAACCAAGCCCTTGGCGATTGCTTCAAACTATAGAGAGATTTTCTCAATCTACAAACCTTCCCAACAGTCCCAGGTGTAGAAAGTCCAGGAGGAATTTCCATGTAGACTTCCTCTTGTAGATCTCCATGTAAAAAGGCATTTTTTACATCAAGTTGGTGTAGTGGCCATCCAAAGTTAGCTGCACATGAGATTAGAATCCTCACTGTATTCATCTTTGCAACTGGGGCGAATGTTTCGTCATAATCAATACCATACGTTTGGCTGTACCCTCTGGCTACCAGTCTTGCCTTGTAACGCTCAACCTTACCCTCAGGATTCTGCTTCACTGTGAAGATCCACTTACAACTGACTGCCTTCTTCCCATATGGAAGATTTGCTAGCTCCCATGTTTTGTTCTTTCTCAAGGCCTCCAACTCTTCCCTCATGGCTTCACACCACTTTGGATCTTGTCTTGCTTCTTTCTAGTCTTTAGGAACAATCACGGCTTGAAGTGATGCGACAAATGCTCTAAGTGAAGGTGATAGGGCTTCATAGGTGACATAATTACTGATGTCATGCTCAAGATTGCCCTTGCTCAAAGTTTTCCTTGCTACTTCCTTCTTGAGAGCAATTGGCAGGTTAGGTGATGCTTCTTCAGTACTTGAATTTTCATATGACTCCACTTCAGATGAGCTTCCTGTCGCTTGAGTTTCTTCTGACTGCTCCCCCTGTTCCATAGTTTCTTTTGACTGCTCCTCATGCACTTGTTCCTCCACACCTCTCTTCCTTCTTGTATACACCTGAGGATTCCTTTCCTCATTTGGTCTCTGCCACCTCTGTTGTTCAGCCCCATCAACTACAACTGGAATGAAGGATCCCACTATTTTCGGGGTTGGTATTGGCTGCTCCTTGTCGCCATTGGTGCTGCACTCACCACTCAAGTTGCACTCCCCCTCTTGACCACCCTGCATAGATTGTGAGTGGTCAAGTTCTTCGAATAAAGTGCTGAGATCTGTCTTCTCACCATAGAAAGGCTCAGATTCTCGAAAGGTGACATCCATACTTACAAATGTGCGCCTTTCAGCAGGACTCCAACACTTATAGCCTCGCTGCCCTGCAGGATATCCAACAAATATGCATTTTACAGCTCGTGGATCCAGCTTTCCCACTGCTGGTCTGTGATCTCTAACGAAGCAGGTGCACCCAAATAACTTCGGAGGAACTGAGAATTTGTTCTCCCCAAATAGCATCTCACATGGGGACTTCATACCAAGCATTTTTGAAGGCATCCGGTTGATCAGGAACGTTGCAGTCATGACAGCTTCACTCAACAAGAATTTTGGCACATTCATGGTGAACATAAGTGATCGAGCCACTTCTAAAATGTGTCGGTTTTTCCTTTCTGCAACACCATTCTGAGCAGGGGTATCTGGACATGATGTTTGGTGCATTATGCCTTGTGCTGACAGGAAACCTCCAAATTGCTTGTTTACATATTCAGTTCCATTGTCAGATCTGATCACCTGCACCTGCACATTGAATTGGTTTTGCACATAGGCATAAAACTCCTGAAAACATTGGAATACCTCATCTTTATGTCGCATGAGGTACACCCAAGTCATGCGAGTGTGGCAGTCTATAAATGTCACAAAATATTTCATTCCACTAACAGAAACAACAGGACATGTCCACACATCAGAGTGAATCAGCATAAACGGGGATATACTCCTTAGCCCCTCACTCAAATATGAGATTCTTGTGTGCTTTGCATATTCACATGCATCACACACAAGCTTACTCTTGTCTACTCCACGCATTACATCAGGAAACATCTTACTCAGCTTATCAAAAGCCATATGCCCCATGCGACAGTGATGGATCATCGCCATTGTCTCACTTACTCCAACTAGTACAGCCAAAATAGGACTAGCACCAGACCTAGACACATCACGATCCATATACCACAATCCACTACGCCTGGTTCCTGTCCCAAGTTTCCTTCCAGTCATCCTCTCCTGAATCAAACATATTTTCTTATCAAGAGTTATTCGGCAATCTATCTGATCAATCAAAGCACTTAGAGAAAGCAAGTTCACAGGAAAAGCTGGAACATGTAATACATCAGATAATTTAATAGTGGGTGTACATTGAACTGATCCAACTCCTTTAATCGGTTGTGAGGTGCCATCAGCAGTTTGTATTGTTTCACAATGTGTAATTGGGTACTGAGTATATGATTCAAACTCAGTTGAGGTACCCGCAACATGCTTGGATGCTCCAGAATCTAATATCCAATCTGGAAGGAAATCATGTGTGGATATAGATGCATTTGCAAAGTTACCTTCCCCTATGTAGACAAAGTGGGCAAAGTTCCCGAAGGTGTTGTCCTCCTGGCTTCTACTCTTCGACTCCCCTTGAGAGGTTGTTGACGTCCCTTCTTCTTGCGTTGCCAAGTTAGCCAAGTTTGCTTTGAAGCCACTGGAATAATTCGAACCCCTCGAGTTACCTCTGCCTCTAACTCCCCGGTATCCACCTCGGCTGTAACCTCTTCCCCTACCACGTATTTCTCTGCGTTGTGCTGTGCAATTGATGCTTATGTGACCTTTCTCTCCACAGTTGAAGCACTCTCTTGTCTCCTTCCATTCAGACACAGTAAATGTTGAGCGAGATGCATTCGCTTCTCCAGTCCTGGTCAACTTCAACCTGACCTCCTCCTGTGCCATTGCTGCAACTGCCTCCTCAAGCGAGGGGAGCTTTGGCTGATGAAACAACCCAGCACGCCTTCCTTCAAATTCTGAGCTAAGTCCCTTCAAGAATTTCATCACTCTCCTACGCTCTACCCACTTCTTAGTAGCAACTATACATTCTGAATGTGGTAACTCCAGTGGATCATAGTGGTCTAAGTCAGCCCACAAATGCTGCAATTCTGCTACATACTCCATCACCGACTTATCCCCTTGTTTTAGCTCATTTACTCTATCCTCAATCTGCGCCATAAGCATTATGTTCCCTTTCCCGGAGTACAATGTTTCCAGGGTTTTCCATACCTCTACTGCATGGGGAAGAGTCTCCACGGCTGCTGCAATGGATGGGGTCAAGGAGTTCAGCAGCCATGCCACCACCAGAGAGTCAATGACACTCCACTTCTTCCACTCTTCACTTGCCCTGTTCGCCGGTTCATCTACTTCCCCTCTGACATAGCCTTCCAGCCCCTTTGTCCTCAATATTAGCAATGCCCTTCTGGACCAGCTTAGGTAGTTTGTGACCCCTTCCATCTTGATTTCATTTGGCATCAGTTCTATTTTCTGTATCACCTCAGGCTGAGGAACAAGCGCACCTGGGGAAGCCACACCCTCTGCCTTGACAGTGATGAGCTTAGCTAGCTTCTCCAACGCCTTTACCAACCCCTGGTTGTCCCCCATCTTTCCAATCTTGAATCACACCACTAGCAACCTCCAGTAACCACTGCTCCCCACTTTCACCTCTCTACTACCTCCTCCCCTCAGATCTGGGATTCCACCTCTCCTTCTTCCACACAAGCCTTCTCCTCTCAGACAATCGCCAGCAAGCACAACCAGCCAACCACCATCACCACTGCTGGGATTGGGAACCCAAGCTCTGACACCATGTAGAATCAGGGGAGAGAGGGGTGGCTGCTGGGATAGAAAGATGGCCTGGTATTGTATTCTATTGGAGTTAGGGTTTCCTGTACAAGGGGGCAGCACATATATAGGCTGCAGGGTTACATGGGCCACATGGGCCATAAGCGCGCGCACACACACACACACACACTGAAATACAGATAAGACACAGCCCAACATAGAGGAAGTGGAGGCGCCAAGCAGAGAGCCATCGCCCGAAGACCTGCAATGAAGATGTCGATGACGTCTCGTTCCCGGGGGCGGCGCCAGAGCTGCAAATAGCCACACAGTTTGAAATATCATGATGGGATGAGAAATCTGCCAACAGTGCATCTATTTATTACAAATGATCACAAGTAGTTACCTGCTCAAGTCAGCAGAAGTCCAAGCACCAAGACGGCCCCTGAGGCCAGCCACCTGTGCCCTCCTGAGAAGCGCTGAACAGGGCTGCTGCTGGGCAGCTGGGGGAAGTCATCTGGTGGCGGCATCGCGCACTCGCTGCCGTCGAAGTATATCTTTCTAGGCAGTGCCCACCCACCAGAAAAGCTGAAATCCTTGCCCTTCCTCAGCAGGACCTCTGTCTGCATAGTACCATCCTGGGGCAACATCTGGTTGAAGCGTGGGAGCCCCCAGAAGAGGCCTGTGTCGTCTGCAAATTCGAGATGTTAGTCTTGCAAGAATTCAGAGTACTCCAAATGTTATGGTATAGTATGCAGGTTTGAAAATTCAGTGCACATCTTGGAAACCTAGCATCACATCTTGGAAACTTCTACTCAAGAAAGATCTGGAACTGTTGAAACACAGAACTAAGCAACATCTCATTCAAGATTATCAGGACTTGATTGAAACAAGAAAAGAGACACCTCTGTCTTTGATCATTTTGGCAATGAAGGAGTTGCCATCTCCCATCTCGTGTGGCTATGACTATTGTTATTATGGGTTGCTGGCATATATATCTTTTCAATCAGAGGGGCCACACGGCCCCCATTTTCATTACGAAAATGGAGTCACAACATACAGACCAAGTCCCATACAAACTTAACTTCGATGCCTAACATATGTAACAGGAAAAACTACTCCTATATCTTGAGGCACTTCAAACTGCACCTACAGGATGCTACAACAAAGGAACGAGCCCAAAGCTCAGCCACTACATATGCATGCCTAACATTCTTTTGCATTAGGGAAAATAAACTCCTACAACCTGAGATACTAAACTCCGCACCTACAGGTTGCTGGCATATATGGATGCAGAGGAACAACAAGTATTTAATCAGATCAACCCTAGCATCGCATCTTGGACACTTCTACTCAAGAAAGATCTGGAAGCTGTTCACAATCTAGTGTCCCGAGCGACGAGAGATGTTTTCAAACTCGGGCGAGCCGTTGGGGGCGGTCCTAGGTGCCGCGGGCGGCGACTCCGCTTCCCCCGGCGACCTCGCCGCGGCTGATGCGTGGGTGCAAGTTCAGCGGGGCCCGAGTGGCGCCCCGGTGTGCCCGGCTCCGGTGTGCTCCTCGGAGTCGGGGTGGTCATTTCTGGGCCCTGGCGGCGGACGAGTCCGACGAGGATGGGACTTCCCCGCCTCGACTGGCTCCCCCGCCGGCTGGCGCGACCCTCGATGACTTCGTACAGGTGGCGGTGGCGGCCGGCGTCGATCGGGGAGAACATCGTCGTCGTTTCGCCCTGGGGGGCAGTGGATCTCGGGCTACGGCGGTGCGGTGCTGGAGACCACCGACGCCCTCTGCGCTGAGCCCGCGGGTGGACCGCGCCCCCTCGTCGTCCCTTGGCCTTGCGGCAGCCTCGGCGGCGGTCGAGGAGTGGCCTTCGCTCCCTATCGTGCCCGTGTCGGCGTTGTTGTCGGCGGCAGCGGCGCATGTGGCGGAGACGGCCGACACGTTAGGGTTACCGCTGTCGGGCGGGGTGCCTGCCTTGGGCCAGCTTGCGCTTGTTGGGCCTGGGCCGGCCTCGGGCTGTCTTGGGGCCCAACCGTCCTCAGGGGTGGATTCCTGTGGGGCTGCGGGGGGCCAGGTGGACGCTGCTGCAGCTGGGCCTGGCTCGGCTGGGCCATGTGCCTCTTGGCCTGTCCAGGTTGGTGCCCGCGAGCCCGGGCCGCGGCGCTATATATGGCTGCGCAGGGGCGTGCGCGACCCCTCGCTAGGGTTTCTGGCTCGTCCCAGTGAGGTGCGGCGCTTTAGGCGGTTTGCCATATCTCTTTTCCCCCTTCCTCCTCCACCCCTCACTCACTCCTTTGCTGCGGTGGCAGCCATGGGAGACCGGCGAGCAGAGAAGAGGCCGATGGATCCTCCGATCCCTGACGAGGAGCGGCGGCGTGAGAAGGCGCTGCGGGAGCAGGCGAGGCGTCGTCAGCGGGCCAGGGCGGCGGGGCGTGAAGATGGTGGCGATGGTTTCGAGCAAGGCCTAGGTGGTGGTTCCGGCCAGGGCTATGGGGGTAGCCATCGCCAAGGCTATGGCTCTAGATCTCACGGGCGCGAGGGGGATTGGGGTCCTCCTCCCCCTTGGTGGGGCCAGCAGGAGCGAAAGAAGAAGCGCAAGAATGGGGCGCGGTGGCGCGAACTGGAGCGCAAGCCGCAGGAGCACCCACTCTGTGGTGGGGGCCATGGGGATCCGTTGGCCAAGAAGCCGCGGGCGTCGGCCGTCCCGCTGGCGGTGGTGCTGCCAGACGCGCTGCGCGGGTCGGCGGACGCGCCCATCCCAATCGAAGAAGAGGGGGACGAATGCTTCAAGTGCGGCAGGACCGAGCATTTCCAGGCCAAGTGCACCTTTCCTCCCCTCTGCGTGATCTGTAAGCAGGAAGGGCACGCCTCGGCCTTTTGCCCGACGCGGGGCAAGCATCTCCACCTTCAGATCATGGGAAGTGCGATACCGGGTGAAGGGTTTTTCTGCTTGGACTTCGAGGAAGAAGAGGAGGTGGAGGGCAATGATCTCCAGGCTGCCAATGGGGCTATCTTGTCGGCGGAGCCAGGGAGGCTCTCGCTGCGCGTACTCAAGCAGGAGTTGAAGCACATGTTTGCGGGGGACTGGGATTGGCAGATCTCTCAAGTGGGTGATGATGACTTCGCGGTTACTTTTCCCTCCGCGGATCTGTTGCACATGGCTAAATCTAGTGGTAAACTGTTTCTCTCTATCAATGATATTACGGTGCGGGTGCGTGATTCTATCCAGGAGACCATTGTGCCTCTCTCCATGCCGGAGGTGTGGCTCCGTCTCCATGGCATCCCCAAGAAGTACCGGCGCGTCGACCGCCTGATGGAAGGACTGAAGATGTTGGGCAGGCCCATTGTGGTGGACGAGCTCTCACTCATCCGGATGGGACCGGTGAGGATGAAGTTTGGATGCAAAGCTCCGGACAAGATGAATGGCTTCGTGCAAGTATGGTTCAATCATGATGGCTTTGACATCAAGGTGGAGGTGGAAAGACTCCCGAAGCGCACGGGTGAGGGACCAGTGGCGCCAGGTTCTGACAAGGCTCCTCCCCGCCCTAGCGACAAACAGGGCCAGCCTGGTTCAGGGACCGGGGGTGCGACTGGCCAGCTGCAGGCTACGCCCGTGGCTCAGGGAGGGCCGGGTACCGCCATTGCCAGCCACCAGCAAGATGTGGAGATGGCCTGCCGTGACGAGGAGAATGAGGACAGTATGCCGGACACGTCGATTGACACAGAGACCTGGGATATGCTGGGCCGCAAAGCTCTCGCGCTCGTCGAGGACAAAGAAGTGGCGGCGCCGGGAGCACTTGCGATTGCGGATACAGCAGGGAGCAGCCCGCCACCGGCGCGCACGCTGCTGGGGGATTTTAACCAGTCGAGTTGGCTGGCGCTGGCTCCATGCTCTCGGGCGCCCCGGCCTCCCCCAGTCTGCTGGGCTCTGACATGGGTGTGGTGCTCAACGAACCATCCATGCAAACCCCGTTGTCAAGCCGCCGCAGCGCGGGGGGTTCCGGTCGTGCTCCTAAGAAGACGGCTGGACGCAAGCCTTCGGCCAACCCCGCCGTGCTTTCCCTTCCTTCGCCTAATGCATCGACGTGCGTGGACCTGCAGGCGGCTCTGGGCTCTGCGGGCACATCGGCCAAGGCTTGGCACTCTCGCGCTTCTCCAGTGTCCCAGCGCGCGCCAAGTGCCCGGGCCAAGGCACAGCTGGGAGAGCTGTCATCCATGGAGAGCGCGCAGCTGCGCCTTGCGGAGAAGAATCTCGAAACTGCAGGTAATCCCCCCCCCCCTCCTTTAAGATTCTGAATGCTTTTACAGACCCGGAACTTGTCTTGATCCTAGATGATAGCGGTTTTAAAGTAGGTGCGGAGAGCGGTGAGCTAGTGTCGTTGATTCGTGCTCGCGAAGATGCCCAAGCGGCTCTGGCCGAAGCTGCCGTGTTGGCAAAGGCCAGGGAGGCCTCTACCACGGCTCTGGTTGTGCCAGACCCTGTAGGGTCTGTTGTGCCGTCGGGTGGGGCTGCTGAAACCAGGGAGGTGGAGGCTACCCCCTCAACGAGCCGTGTCCCGGCTAAAAAACGTGTGGCAAAACCGGTGACATCCAGAGGGGTGCGCCTTCGCAATCGTATTATCTGATGCGCTACCTTTTCTGGAACATTCAGGGCTGCGGCCACTCTGGCCGTTGTACCCAGCTTAAGGAGTACATTGCCCGAGAGTGTACTGACGTCGTCGCGCTTCAGGAAACGATTAAAGCCGATTTTACGTATAGAGATTTGGCAGCTTACGACCCCCCTTCATCGTTTTGTATGGGCCTGGGTACCTTCTGTGGGTCACTCTGGCGGTCTTCTTGTGGGATGTAACAGTGATGTATGTGATGTTGTAAGCTGGGATGTGGGCTCGTTTTTCATTGCAGTTACGATTAAACACAGGATTTCTCTTGTTTCTTGGGCAATTATTTGCGTCTACGGACCGGCCGATCATTCTCGGGAGGCTGATTTCTTGGGTGAAATCCAAAGCTTGGTTGGGGCCAAGCAAGCCGCCAACGTCCCCATTGTCCTTGGGGGCGATTTTAACCTTATTCGCTCGGGAGCAGATAAGAACAACCATAATATAAACTGGCTTAGAGTGAACTTATTCAATAATACTATCGTGGCATGTGCCCTGCGGGAGATCGCTAGGACAGGCGCTAGATATACGTGGACCAACAAACAACTCTCTCCTGTGCACAGTGTTCTCGATCGTGTCTTTGTGACTTCCGACTGGGAAGTGCTCTTCCCCATGTGTACGCTTGTGACAGAAACGCGTATTGGGTCGGACCACGTGCCGCTGATCTTAGCCTCTGGGGAGGACCGAATCAAGCGCAGCCCTCGTTTCTACTTTGAAACAGGGTGGTTTGAGGTCGAGGGTTTCGGTCCCTTGCTCATTGCGCGCTGGGAGCATGCAAGAGCTGCGGTCGGCTGCTCCAGGGGTCCTCTGGACACTTGGATCTCGGCGGCCGGTGCCCTTCATGGTTTCCTCCGTGGGTGGGGTGCAAACCACGGGAGCGACGCGAAGCGCACTAGGGAAGCTATAATCGCTGAAATTAAAGCCCTCGATGCTCAAGCTGATTCCAGACCCTTCCTGGAAGCAGAATGGGCCAACCGTTACGCACTTGAGAACCAGGTGCTTGCCGTTCTTAGGGAGGAGGAGGAATACTAGCGTCGTAGGGGCGGCATCAAGTGGATCACCAAGGGCGACGCGAATACGGGCTATTTTCACGCCTTTGCCAACGGCCATAAACGGAAGTGCTCGATTTTGAGACTTCAATCCGATCAAGGGCTGTTGGTTAGTCAGGCCGAGATCGCGGCCCACATCTATGACTTCTTCCTCGGCTTGTTCGGAACAGCCGAGGAGAAGCCCTTACACCTCCGGGCTGACTTCTGGGGAGAAGATGCCCGCGTGTCGCAAGCCGAAAATGACTTCTTGGCCTTGGCTTTCTCCACGGAGGAGATCGACGAAGCGGTGGAAGCAATGAAGATTGACACTGCGCTTGGCTCGGATGGCTGGCCGGTCGCGTTCTTCCGCCGTTTCTGGCCTGTGCTTAAAGACCTCTTTTACGGGATTATTAATGGTTTTGTGTTAGGTACGGTAGACGTTTCGCGCCTCAACTATGGTGTCATCAGCCTCATTCCCAAAGTCAAAGGGGCCGACACTATTAAGCGGTACCGTCCCATCACTCTTATTAACGTGCCTTTCAAGATCAGCTATAAGGCTTATGCGACTAGACTTGCCCCGGTAGCGCAGCGCGTTATCGATCGCAGTCAGTCCGGTTTTCTCAAAGGTCACAACATTCTCGAAGGGCCGATAGTGTTGCAGGAGATCATCCACGAGCTTAAACGCACTGGGCAACCGGCCGTGCTCCTCGAGCTCGACTTTGAGAAAGCATACGATCGCGTGAACTGGGAGTTCATTCGCGAGGTGCTGACTCAGAAGGGATTCGAGCCAGGCTTTGTTCACCGCATCATGCACCTGGTCTCGGGAGGCCCGACTGCTGTGTCGATTAATGGAGAGGTTGGGAACTTCTTTCGCAACAACCGAGGACTCAGGCAAGGGGACCCCTCATCGCCTCTGATCTTCAACTTTGTTGCGGACGCCCTCTCAGCCATGGCTAAGGACGCCGGCCACATCCGCGGTGTGGTTTCTCACCTTATTCCGGGAGGACTCACGCACCTTCAATATGCGGACGACACCTTATTGCTCTTTGAGTCTGACGATCATAGCGTAGCCTCGATCAAACTCATCCTCCCTGCTTTCGAACTCATTTCTGGCCTTAAGATTAATTTCCTTAAGAGCGAGGTGATCGCCATTGGGATGGACCCTCTGCTCGCTACTCGTGTCGCCAACTTGCTTAATTGCAAGCTAGGGAACTTTCCAATTAAGTACTTGGGCCTGCCTATCTCGAATAAACACATCTTTATTCTTGAATGGGAGCCCTTGTACGGCAAGGTGGCGAACAGGGTTAGCCCCTGGCGCGGCCGGTTCCTCTCCTCGATGGCCAGGCTGATCCTCACTAACTCCAGCCTCTCTTCCCTTCCTCTGTTCACTATGGGCATGTTCTTGCTGGCTGATGGGGTTCATGCCAAGCATGATACCCCCCGATCCAAGTTCTTTTGGGAAGGAACTGGGATCAAAAAGAAGTACCACCTGATCAAATGGGCCGCGCTCTGCCGCCCTAAGAAATTCGGGGGCCTCGGGATCCTTAACTCCAAACTCATGAACGTAGCACTCCTAACAAAGTGGATTTGGAAACTCTCCCAAAACGAGCAGGGGCTTTGGGTAGACATTCTTCGCGCCAAATACTTCCCTGATGGGAATTTCCTCACTTCCAAAGCTAAGGGTTCACCTTTTTGGAATGGGATCCAGAAAGTTATGCCCGCCTTCACATTAGGAGCCAAGTTCTGCGTCAACAATAGTTCCTCAACGCAATTTTGGCTGGACCATTGGTTTGGCACGAAACCCTTGTGGAAAAGCCATTCCACTGCCTATCAGTTAGCCACTAACGTTGATATTCTGGTGGCTGACGCGCTTCGCACCAACCCACCCGCTGTATCCTTCAAAAGACCCCTCCTCGCTAACGAACGAGCCTGTTGGGATGGGCTCGTTGCTGCTTTGGCGGGAGTGGTCCTTCGCCCTGAGGCCGACTCGGTCTCCTGGGCTCTCTCGCGCTCTGGGAAATTCTCTGTTCAATCCTTGTACAACAAATTGACCGAGGGACCGACCCTGGACATAGCTAGGGGGCTATGGAAAGCGTCTATTCCCTTGAAGATCAAAATTTTCTTGTGGCAGATGTTTCGGGATCGCCTGCCCTCCTCTAATAACATCGCTCGTAGGAACGGGCCTTTCGATGGCTCTTGCGTTCTATGCGGACATCATGAAGATGCCAACCACATCTTTTTTAATTGCTACCTGGCCCGCTTTGCCTGGAGTGCGGTTAGGGAGGCTTTCGATCAGAACTGGAACCCGCTCTCAGCTCGGGACCTCCGCGCTATTCTAGCCACTCATAGGGCGTTTTTGGCCGTGTGTTGTGGAGATGTGTGGGTGCTTTGCCGTGGGTCATCTGGACTACGCGCAATAAGATGGCTATTGAGCACAAATTTCCTTCTCACCCGGCTGACATTATCTTCAAATGCCACTTGTTCCTACAGACATGGACGCCGTTGGGGAAACGGCGTGATGCGGATCGGATGACGGAGGCTATGGAGCGGATACGGTTGATCCAGATCGGTGCCCGCCACTAGCTTGCCGTTGGATGCGATCTTTTGGACTGGCCGCCTGTGCGCTGCTTCTTATTTTCTTTCCCTCGCAGGCTTCGGCCGGTAGCATGTAACGTACCTTGGCTGCGGCCGTTTTACTTTATGATGTTCTGTGTTGAACTTGTTAGATTCTGCCTTGTGTGGGCTTTATTAATTTAAAGCCGGACGCCTCCGGCGTCTTCGTTCTAAAAAAAAGAAAGATCTGGAACTGTTGAAACACAGAACTAAGCAACATCTCCTTCAAGATTATCAGGACTGGACTGAATCAAGCTTTTAGTCTGTTAAACTCTTGATTTATACATGTTTCCTATAGCAGGAATTGGCTAGATGGGATCACCCATCCTTTTTCTTTTTTGCTCCCATTTGTATATATACGTTTAGTTATATTAATGAAAGAGGAGATATGAAAGATTTGAACAACGTACTGATCGTGCCGCGCTGCACAAGCGGCTCGTAGGCGAAGCTGAAAACTTGGGTCAACTCCTGTAGACTCGGGTGCTGGACGACGATGTTCCAGTCACTGTAGTTCTTGAACCTATTGAAATTGTTGATCGACAGCTTCACCCGCCAGTACTCGGTGTAGCTCTTCTTGACGTGCCAGTGCACCCTTATCGGGCACATGTGCCCAGTGCACCGGATCTCGGCGTCCTGGCACTGCGGCGCTGTGGAGGTCCCAGCTGGGCAGGCACCGCAGGTGCAGTGGGGGCACTCCACTATCGTCCTGCTGTAGAACGTGGACAAAGAGACGCAGCACGCCCGGAACGGGCCCACCGCTGTCTGCGAGTAGAAGCAGGTGGCCTGCCACGTCACTGCACACATTGAAAAAAAGAATAGTCATCGGATTAGAATTAGTCATGTTGAGGCAGAGCCAAGATTTCTCAAATACTAGGGCTAAAACTAAGCGGCTATAAATAACGTCTAAAATCACACATAACCGTGTGCATTAGAAGCACACCAAAAAATCACAATATAATGAAAGATGAAGTTCATTCTTATCAGAAGAGAAAATTCGGTGAAAACATGTGAACAATTTAACGAAGTGCGTCATTAAAAAAGTTGACACCAAATTAATGAAGACATGATTCATTATTCGAGCCCATCGTTTCTTCATTAGCAATCACAAAAGGATCTAGATATGGACATAAGTTCTTTGTGAATGGACATAGGTTAAGTTAACTGTTCATACAAATTTTGAGGACTTATATATTTAACCAAAGAAAATTGACTAAAGTAGTACAATTGACACCATCAACTCATTAATTTTTGACTGACACAGAAAACTAGGGAAGTAAATTTTAGATGATACAAACTAGAATCAGTGGCAGAGGTACAAAAAAATTGTTGGGCGGGCCAGAGTACACATTTTTTTTGAAGTACTGAACCATATATAGTGTTCCATTAGAGATATTGGCCACCACTCAGTACCTTGTGTTCTCACTGATTACGAGATGAGCAGATGCATAATTGCATATGTATACTAGTCCAAACCAAAATAAACCATGGCATTTGACCATCTATATACTACTCCAAACCAAAATGACAGTAAACAACAATGCCTTTGCTGTGAATTTGTAAGCTTCAAATCAACAATTTTACAACAGTACCAAATAGACCTTGAATGGATTATTTAGACAATTTGGGATTTGGGGGAGGGATGATTCAATGAACAATGACCTATGTGGAATTTAGGGAAAGAAAATCAGAAACGATTCAACTCAGTTTACTTGCGCACCACTTGCAGGGATTCCGAATTTCAGATGGATTGGAGAAGGAGTTGCCTCCCAGTCCCCGCCGTCCACTACTGTCGCCGTTGCCGGTTTTGCTCTCGGCTCATCGGCTGACTGGCTAACTCGCTGGTGGGCCGTCTAGACGAGGGGTGGGAGGGACCCAGGGAGGCACTGATTTGCGCAGGTGACCGGTGGCCGGCGCGGCAGCGGTCGGCGGCTGCGCCGTGAGGCGGCAGTTGGTGGCTGGTCCTGGGCACATCCGTTGTGTCCTCTTTTTTTTTCGAGGAACGACTGCTATGTGCGACTCTGTGTCTGTGTGTGCCGTGCCGTGTGGTGGAAGGGTGACGCGTGTTGTGGGCCGCACCAACGGTGGGCTGGCCGGCTTGGCATCATGCCTATAATTTCCGGACTAGGCCGGCCACGGCCCACTCCTGGACTGAAGAAGCATGGACTGCCTGGGGCTGGGCCTTTACCAAGTCTAAAATTCAGAAGAAAAAAACACTCTTGCAAATAGGTGCTACTTGGG